AGTAATATAGAGATCATAGGGATATCATAAACACTATATGGTTCTTTCCTTCTTGACAAAAGTCCACTTAGGCCTATTCAGTTACTTTAGAGTTTCAGTTGACAAGTCGAACTACCTTTCCCTATTTCTATTGCACTAGTATTCTGTGTATAATTCACTTAAAATTGTGATGTGAGTTACAGCATTTGTATACTGCTCTTCCAGTAATCATTTGGTCGTCTTTCATCAAAATATCCTCTGTTCCTTTTGTCAAATTGCACTCGGGCTGATTCAATTACTTTAGAACATGCTTTGATGGAATAAATTATTCTTATCTCCTTTTCTAATGTTAGGCCTAACATTTACTATGTTAAGAGTAAGACTATGGCAGTTAACTTTATGCCGAATGTTTCCTTGGTCGTGACCTTACTCTCTTCTGCTATTGTCTCTGCTGTTTCCGCTCATTTCACACTATTTATATGTTTATCACTTAATCGTCTGCCTGCCTTTTAGAAATCTTTATATTCTCAATGTTAATGTATGGCATGCAATGTTTGATAGTCTCAACATCAATGAAGTATAAACGTAACTTCCAATAATCGTCTGCTTTTAAGTCTTATTATAAAAAACATAATACTAATAATGAAAACAACTAAACAATTATGAAATATTAGCTTACAAAATAAATTAATCAATAATATCTACACTGAACAGTATTGTATCATGACACTGGGCAATGCATCACAGTATAGCTATCCACATTTTTACATGTGGAGAGGTCAACGTGTGCATGTTAAGACCTTTTACAGTTACATTCAAAATTAAAATACCTTATCAGTGTATGTCAGTAAAGTTGGTAATGAAACATTTATAACTCAAATTTTAATTTTTTTAAATTTTAATTTATTATTTTTAAAATAAATGCTAAACTTAATTTTCTATATTGCATGACACTTCTACAATCCAAACTAATCATTTTAAATTTTTTGCTATCCTCAAAGGCATTGTAACTTTTCATGGAATTTCTCACTTACACATATTTCTGTTTGCCATTGTATTATTTCAAACCAATAAAAGGTGAATATTTTACTTAACTAGTAAGTGCAGGGTCTTAAAGCCTAGGACTAAGCAGATTTGAATATTTTGGGGTCATTTTCTTTGAATGTTGCCGTTGCTTTGCTTGACTAGTTATGGGAATTATTTTAAGCTGTTATTGTTTTAGTTAGAAAGACAGATAAATCATAAGTTTTATATGCATTTCAATATTCATTATTCTAAATTGCATAACTGAATTTCTAAAAAAAAAAACTACTGTGAATCATATGTTGAACTACGGTTACATTTTGACGTTGACATGAATTCAAAATCTTGAAGATAAGATTTAAGATATATGTACTAATTTTTTTTTATTTAAATTTCTTTAAGATTAAACAAAATACTTGATAAATGATAGCATGCATCAAGCTCAAGCTAT